ATTCCTGCTCTGTTCCATACAGGAACAGTTTCCACAGATTATTTAAAATTACCTATGTACAGTTTGGTCAATTCTTTCAACTATGTCAGGGAGTCAATCAGCACATTTAAGCCTACAAACAGCGTCTATCAACTGATCTATGCACAACAGTGGGAATCTCTGGGATCAGTTGCTTTGTTGTAAAGCACGCATTGCACAGTCTTGGTCATGCATCCCAGGCATATCTTCTGGTCACAACAACACAGCAAACAGCATGGAAAAAGATAGTGAAAATGCAATTATGTCGATAGATAGGTAACACATGCTTATTTCTATAAACTAGGGAAAAAAAAAAAAAATCTCTTCCTTTCCCTTTTCCCCTAAAGATGAACGAGAAACTTTTGGGGTCTCTGTGATCTACACGTGCTCTGTAACTAAGCAGCTTTGGCAGATTTTTCTTTGCTTCCCCTGGTATCCACATATCATGCATTCAAACGCTGTTCCAAAAGCCTCTGTGGTTAATTGAAGCCCTAACAGATTTCAATGGGCTGTGGATCAGATGCTTATGTAGTGAGCCTTAAGTTGCACTGAATTCAATAGGATTTATGCATATAATTGTTTTGTTCCTGGACGTTGAAGTAGGGACGAGAGCTAATTAATAAATTGAGCAACTAGGTCCTGCAATGAAAACCAGGACTGTATTAGGTACCTAAACATCATATACAGAGTATGGACAAGACTTAAGTTCTCTCCTGTTCCTTTCAAAGATGTATCATACACTGAAACACCCACCTAAGTGTCTTATTACATGGTAGCAGTACAAATAAATGGAGGACCAAAAACTACTAAACGTGTATAAATATGTTTCAAATACCTCTGTTGGGTGGAAGATGATGTTATCTATTCTAAAGTCTCCATGAATCAGGCTTTCTTCATTATCATCAGGTGGCAAGTTGTTTGCTAACCACTCAGCCAGCTTGTTCATGGCAGGAATATCTGTATGAGCAGCTGCATCATACTGTCTTTTCCAAGTTGATACCTAAAGAAATACAAACACTTCAACAGATTTTCCAACTGATTCAGCCGTTTTTCAAGAGCACAAAATTCTGAAGCACATGCTTCTGGGCTTTCACTATCACCACGTTACCTGTAAACTCAGAAAACCCAGTGCCTTTGCATTTGCAAGTGTGAACTGTGAGATCAAAAGATGCAATGAATATACTGTGCACAAATAACTGAAATAAGTGAAGGTGTTTAATAGCCAAAATATGATGGTTACTTTTACAAGTCATTAATAATTAACAATTTAGATTGCAAGTCAAATAAATCTTCAAAGACCTGACAAAACAAGAGAATTTTTTGAAGAGTTGTACCTGTCTTCTGCAGTATCCTGGTCCTCTGCCATATCCTTGGAGACCTAATGACTGTAAATCAAAGGAGTGCAACAGGGCCAAAGTTTCTATCATTGCAATATACAAAGCAGAACGCTCAGCTGGGCCCACTTCAGGCAGTGAGAGGTCTCGGAAGATGCGACCCTAAAAACATCATAAATCAGATATTTGGTGGGATGTACGCTTCAGATGAAGAGAAGTAAAGCTAAACATTTCAGAAGCAAACACAAATGCAGTGAACCATTATTCCCTATGCAATCAAAAATTCCTTCCTCATTTATTTTATTTCTTGCACGGGACAGATGAATGGACTCACAGAAATCTCAGATCATTAGTATACAGAATATTTATTGGAAGGCAATTAAAATAAGATATATATTCAGTAGATGAAAGTCTGAATTAGCGCACCCTATCCAGATATCCTCAAGCTTGAAAGCACCAGGGGAAAAAAAAAGTTACTATATTGTCTCTAATTGCTAACTTCTAGAAAAATAACAATGAGGACCTTGGTGGAGGGTGTGGGGGACAGGCGGGGAGAGGAGAGGAACAGGTTGGGTTGTATGTAGAAAGAGGCAAACAATAAAAAAAAAATTCACCTGCATTCTGCTTAAAAGCAGTTTAATATGTTTAGAAGATAGGTGAGATTTTCCATTTTCTCCTTTAATTTTGACCCTGCCAGTAAGAGCTTGGAAAAGGAAAAACAGACTCTTCTCTCCTCTAAGTTCCTCAATTTCAGTGGTGCGCATGATGGCTTCAATGTATTTCAACAGCTAAAGCATCAATACAACTTTTTTGCTGGAAGATTCTGCATAACAAAGTAGGTTTTGTATTGTATAATAGTTTATTCAACATAATCAATGTATGACTGTTTTCTACATATACAACGTATTTGTTACAAACAGTGCACTGCTGTTCATCTTAGAATGGACAGACTGTAAATTTACATCCTTAGAAATGTAAATGTAACAGTAGCGAAGTTAACACTCATTAAGGAACCACTTTGTTCTAGTCAAAACCATCAAAATTCTCCATCTTTAATGTAAGATAATTGTTTCAAATTCTTTGTAGCTTTTAAATTTTATTACTCTTGATTCATGGTTTTTGTAGGAAGGTTAACAACCTCCAGGAATTGGCCTATAAGGTCTTATATTTCTAATTCCCTAGTCAACCTGGTAGGAGAGTACATTGTGATGAAAGGGAAGAGGCCTGAATTCAAATCCTCCTCCCACAGGAAAAAAAAGACATGATAGAGCAGACTTACACTCAGAGTCACCAAAATGCAACAGAAACAGAATCAACTCAGCCTCCGGAGTTATGGACCACAGACAGAGCTATGCCATGTTCTTTCTGAAAGTAGTGCTTGAGCTGGAATTCTGCTTGGTTTTCAAGAAGAGGTGATTGTATGTAGATTATTAACTTCAGTACCAAACAGGTTCCAGGATGTCCAATGTCCAGTACAACTTTATAGCCTGATTTTTTCCCCCTCTGACTTACATGTATGCTTTTCACAAAAGCAATAATGACTCATTTCAAGACATCCTTTTGAGAGCTCAAACGAGAACAAGAAGTTAAACACTGAGCTGAAAATTTCAACAAAGTAGGAAATAAGTCCTGGAAAAGGTGAAATCGGTGAGAATCTCTGAGAGCTTAGCATTTCTTAGAAGTGTCAGAGGATTACTTGTATTTATATCACAAAACTTAGTAAATGCTGGATAAGGCTCTAACAGAAAGGTTAAAAAGCAGCTTGTAGTAGGGAGAAGAAAAGTATCTTTCACATTGGAGGACCAACCTGCACATGCTGCATTACATAAAATTCTGTTCCAATGATAGAAATGTCACTGCAATACAACAGGGGCTCAGGCACTGGAAATCCAGCTGAAAATAAGGCTTTCTGCACATGATACTCTCTATCAACCTGAAGAACACACAGAAACTTAGGTTCAATGAAAAGCTCCCAAACATAAATGAGTACAGTGAATGACAATGTATCCTCTTAAATGTTTAGTAATATGTACAGCAAAGAAAACTGGAAACGATCCAATTAATTCACTGCACTTCTAGACACATTCAGCAATGTGTCACATCATCATGTATAGGCCACCTGCAACACAAAGTGTTTGGAGTTTGCTGAAGAATGTTACTTACTTTGTGAGCTCTTGGTAAAAGGGGGCCATGGGGCTTCTTCCTGAGCACATAAGCCCGTCCACCCTTCTGGAGGTAAAAGGTTGGATTTGACTGGCCTGAGCTGCAAAGAGAGAGATTATAATTACTTATGAATTAAAGTATTTACAAATTTGCAAGCTTTTAAGAGAAATTATGCAAAATACACTGTGGCTTGCGCTGAACAAAATGGCAAGACAGAGGAAAGGGTTCTTCTCAAAAGTTGGCAGGTTTGTTTATTTTCAAATATTGTCTTACAAGTATGCAAGTCATAGCCTACAAAATCAGAAGTCAGCAGTTCTATTCCTACCTATAAGAAAGGTATATTTCACTGCGGAGAGGTCACAGATACACAATTTGTTCTCCTGTGAAGATGATGATAGCATTTACCTCTCCTCCCTAAAGAGACATCATTAATGTTTCCAAGGTATGCAGTAGACACTAACTTTAAAGCTTTCCAATTTGGAGGAAATTAAACAGAACAGAATTCACGCTAGTCTGTAATTGTATTTGTCCTTTGGTGAGCTGTATTTTGAACAATGTAAGCATAAAGAAAGTTCTCCAAATAACTGATGAATGCTAGTACCAAGCCCCACTATGCTAGCCTGATCATCACATCCATATGCTATGCTTAAAAGACTGCCTATAGCAAATGTCAAGTTTTAAAGAATCAATGCTGCGATGACAAAGAAATGTAGAAATTAGAGGTTTCAATCACATACATGTGTAAAAGAGAAGGACAACCTAGTTAAACCCTTCATAACACCTCATCTATCTCATCCCAATCAAGCGCATTGATCCTCATTTTCCTCAAGGCTCTATGCTAATCTACATGTCATCTTCTCCTCATTCTGGATGATTTTTAAGACCCTCTCTGATGTAGTCCAATAAAAGAATTAGACAACTACTGGAAAATCAAAATGAAGTGAACTTCTGAATTTCCATTCTCCCTCAAGGCAGTTAGGGCATAGTCTGTAATATAGTTTAACAAGTATACTGCCCAGACAAATATTCTGCCTGGTACAACAGAGATTTACATTGGTTGAAGCCTTGAAGTGCAACTGCAAGACTAACGAAGTATTGAAAGCACAAACGCTGGCAATATTTTAGTAGATTTTACTATTAGCTACTCTCCTGAGGCCTCTCCTAAAGTCTCCTCAGTTAAGTACGTATAAGGATTAGAATACATGTTTTATATGTGTCAGGAGACAATGAAAAATTGTTTCCTGTTTCTTAGTGATAGCTGCAAATAAAGCAGTCAAGGTAATATTTACAAAGGAATTAATACATATTTCTAATAGTTAGCTCTTGATTTGAAGTCACACTGCCACACCACTAATTTGCTGAATGCAAATGTTGCACTGTTGCAAATACATGTTCTGTGCAATGGTAGGTCTGGAGCCTGGGTGCAGCCCCTCCTTGGCGCAATGCATTGCTCTCAGGGCATTAATGGGAATCTCAGCACAGCTTTAGGCTCTCCTCATGGATTTGCTTACCAAGCAATAGCCTAAGGCTTTATAAATTGATTTCTTAAGCCATGTATGTGCTTCTGAACCTTAATATTTACTATGCAATTAAAAAGCAATCAGATAAACTGAGATTTATGAGTAGGCAACAACACAGCTGTGCATGTACTCCAACACAGCCCACCACGGAGAGCCAAACGCATGTCTTTCCAAGGACAGCGGGAAGTCCACCCAACACACCGCCTGCCCGTGGGAGGCCACCGGGTCCACCTGTACCAAAGGTCACCTTCGCTGCCACCACAAACTTTGACTTCTCCAGCTGTTCAAGGGACGGGCCGCTGCTTCGATGGCTGCTGTCCACCATTATCAGGGCAAAGGGCCCTAACTCTGCCCACCTTTCCTGCCGGGCAACAAGCAAAGCCGTGGCCCCTCTCCTAGTCCCACAGAAACACACTGCGGGCTGACGCTCTGACTCTGCGCCTCAGGGTGCCCCACGGGCCAGGGCTCCCGTGACAATGGCCGTCGAGGCC